CCCGCCGCGCCGCCCTGCTGCCGCCGCTGGTCCGCCGCCGCCCCCGCGCGCGCCTCCTTCGCGCCGCCGTCGTCGCGGCGCGCGGCCGCGGCCCCGGGCGCCGCCGGCGCCACCACCACCACCTCCGCCTCCGCCCCCTCCTCCTCCTCTGCATCATCCTCTGCAGCTGCCGCGCTGGCAACGGCACCCCCGCGCCAGCCCGCCGCAGGTGCCTCCTCCTCCGCCGTCGCCTGCTCGGCTGCCGCTGCTGCTGCCGCCTCCTGCTCTGCCTCCCAGGCCAGCCGTTCCTCCAGGAAAGCCGAGATGCGCTCCGCCAGCGCCACCTGGCGCTTGGCGTTCGCCAGCTGGAGCGCGCCTGCACATCCGGAGCGGAGCGCAAAGGGGGGCGCTTGGGGCGCTGGGTCGTGTCTGGAGGGCGGGGGGGCACCTGGGGTGGCGCGACGCTACGGGCTTGCTGGCCCGGTCAGGGGGTGAGCGCGGCGTTTGGCAAACTTGATCAAGCTTTGATGGAGCTGGCGGCTGCTGCAAGGCACCTGCATGGTCAGGCGCCCTGCGGCAGTCAGCATGCATGCGTCGGTGCGTGGCTCATCGCTACAAGCGCTGCTCCCCGAGGGCAGGTCGCGCCGGGGCACTTTGTGAAGCCCAAACAGCCCGCCCTATGGACACCGCGCGCGCGCGTGCGCCGCCGCACCCTGTATGCTGCGCGTGTTGTGCAGCTGCCCTACCAGCTCCAGCGCCCGCGACTCGCGGCGCGCGTTGAGGGCGGCCTGCGCGTGGCGCGGCGCGGGTGGCGTTGTTTTTCGTACGCAGCTCTGAGTGTTGCCGGGGCTCAACAAACTTGCGTCCAGCTGCTCAAGAAACTCGTGCTAGAATGCTTGACAAACATTGAGCAGCCGCCACTTGGGAGGTCAGCTCGCGTGCGTGGCGGCGCCGGGGTGCCGCTGATTCAGCTGCTATCCCTCAGCAGCAGCCTCTACTCCCCCGCACCTTCATACCCCCACACCGCCGGAACCCCAAACCCCCACTCCCCCACGCCCGCACTCCCCCATACCCCACA